GTGTTATTGTCATCATCAACAAGGAACTGATGACAGCCGATTTTACTTTTTCTTGGCTTTCTATGCAACAACAATAGTGTTATACAAACACACAGTTACAACAACCAAAGAGAAGTTAAAGTAAGAAGAATTGGGACCAAGAGCTTAACTAAAGCAAACACTGATCACCACAATGGTGACTTAAAATGAAACATATCAACATCTAAACCTCATCTAAACAATGTAAGGAAATGACATTGATATAAACATGAGTTTTAAACACGATGGCCACATTTGACCTAGTTTTTAAACTTGTACGAAGGTTTGATTAACGTCTACATCGGACGTGCAGAACACGTCAAAAAAACACGTCATAAAAACTTTAATTCTGGCTCCTCAGTGGACGTCTTTTCAGCATCCGACTTTTGTGACACAGACGTTGAAAAGACATCTTTTGGGCATCATGTTGTTTAGTGGGCAGTCTATCTAATGTTGGCCCACTAATAGATTTGAAATATTTTTGTAGTTTTGGCCAGATTACTAGTTTTGAATGAGTGATCTGAAAGGTTTTCAGACCGAAATGAACGGGTCCAGATCGGATCCGGATAGGGTCTGTCGCGGATCTAGTCTGGATCCGCAATCCGGATCTGTTCCAGATCCGTTGCGCTGTGCAAGTGGACTCCGTTTCGGACCTTGTTCTTACCTCCGCGGCAGATCCGTTCCGGATCTGTTTGCTATGTGGGTAAGTTTAAAGTCCCTGTAAAGGCAATTCTACAAAAAAGTTCTAAACTCATTATAAATGTTATATATGTATTGCTAAAACATATTACAAAGTCTGTGAACTGTGAAGTACTGAAATGTGGAGTTAGACCGTTAAACAGTTTTTCACCATTGCAATTTTACGGATTAATTAGGCGGGGCTAAAACAGGGCTCGATGACGCACTGGAGCCCATGAGCTGCTGAACATCTCCTTATTTGATGACGCTCAGAGTCTGATCTCCCCCTCTCCACACACACTCCCCGAGCACATTCGCATTCACAGCTCAATAGCGAGTGACTGTCAGTACTATTAGTTACTACAACTGAGCCTACAGTTTTCTAGCTAGCTATGCCTTTGACACGGACATGCATGGGCTACTACCTGGATGCGATCATGTACAAAACAGATCGGTATCTTCATTTAAATTCCCCTAAAAACGATCACATCAAGAAGAGGTTTTTAGAGAACCAACCTTGTTGATGAAAAGCTGAGGATCACTGCCAACACCCGCCTCTGTAGTGATAGTTTTACACTAGATCGTTTTATAAACTTTCCTCAGAGACAACTTGGATTCACTGATAATTCACTGATAATCCGCTGTTACTGGTGAACGGGGCCGAAACGACGATCTCCCGCCTCAGTGTTCATCCTCCCGTCTCCAAAAGCTAATCAGCTAATATCACCGTCAACAGCTTTCCCGTGAGTGGGCGTGGTTTCAGCGCAGCCAGCGAACACGCCCGCAGCGTTTGAGAGCAGAGAATCTGCTAATTTTTTCATGATTTTGATAGCTTATTTTATGTACTTCCCGGCTTTTTTTATCATTCAAATTTGGCTGGGTGGCTAATAACACATTTTTCTGTGGTATGACAGACTCAGAACACATACTTAATTTTGACTTTACAGGGACTTTAATGATGTATTGTCTGGAAAGGTTATAAGTCACCCATGCCATAGTAAAACTTCAAATAATAGCTGAGTACCAAATAGACATCTGTCTCTTTTAGCCTGTATACACGCCTGAAGTGCCGACAAGTTAAAAGATAAATAAAGTCCGGTCTCAATAGAGGTCTGGTCTGTTTTTTAGTTTCGGGTTGTATTTAATCTTCTAAAACTCGTCAGATCGTCTGTTCAAGCCAGTTTTGCATGAAAGAGAGCGTATCTGGGTGGGATCTGTTAGTGGAAGCCGGAGAGGGAGAAGTGGAGGAGGAATTCGCCAATGAACTTGTAGTTGAGGGTTATGATGATAGTGATGAACACTGATGGGCAGTAACGCGTTAGAAGTAATGCGTTACTGTAATCCAATTACTTTTTTCTAGTAACGAGTAAAGTACGGGATTACAATTGAAAAAACAGTAATTATATTACCGTTACTTGAATGGAATTCTTTATTGTCATTCTACAAGGTACAACGAAATTGGATGACATTCCTCGCAGTGCTTTAAAATGAATATAATATAATAAATAAATAAAATTAAGTTAAAAACATTTGGATATAAATCAATCCATCCCCCCCTCCCCACATACCCAACCACAGTCTATAATGCATGCTTTAAAACAACGTAGTATGGATAGTAAACAGGTGCTTATAGTGCATACATTTCGACACTCAAAAGGGCTAGTCCCTGAGTCCTGGAGTGGTGGTGCCAGTTGTTACATATGGTATGTGAAGGTGACTGGTAGTGTTCATTGTCCTTATGGCAGTGGGATAAAAACTGTTTTTGAGTCTATTTGTTCGGGATTTGATTGACATGAAACGTTTGCCAGAAGGCAACCAAGCAAACAAACTGTGTATCTACCACGTAGATATACAGTAGGCCAGCACGCTTTCAATATAGTAGCAGTAGAAGGACACCAACAGCTTCTCCTCCAGACGGTTTTTCCGGAGGATTCTTAAGAAATGGAGTCGCTGCAGGGCCTTCTTGACTATATGGTGGATATTTGTACTCCATGAAAAGTCCTCTGTGATGTATGTGCCCAGGAACTTGAAGACAGGAACCCTTTCTACACATTCCCCATTAATGTGAAGCGGTTCCATGTCCACCTTTTTCCTACAAAAGTCAATGATTAATTCCTTTGTCTTGGATGTGTTCAAGATAAGGTTATTGTCCTTGCACCACTCAACCAGTCTTTGGACCTCCTCCCAATAGGACTCGTCTCCCCCTGAGATGAGACCAACCACGGTTGTGTCGTCTGCATACTTAATTATGGTGTTGGTAGAATGGATTGCGGTACAGTCGTATGTGTAAAGGGAGTAGAGCAAGGGACTTAACACACAGCCTTGTGGTGAGCCGATGCTGAGTATGAGTTGGGTGGAGATGTGTAGCCCTATTCTTACAGTTTGAGGTCGGTTAGTCAGGAATCCATAATCCATTGACAGATGGATTGGGGGAGTCCTAAATCAATGAGTTTGATGTGAAGTCTCCCAGGAATCCCAGTCTCCTCTTATAGTATTAAAAGCAGAGCTAAAGTCTACAAAGAGCATCCTCACATAGCTCCCCCGGTGTTCAAGATGGGTTAGTGCATTATGAAGAGCGGTGTTAATAGTATCGTCTGTAGACCTATTTGCTCTGTAAGCAAATTGATATGGATCCAAGGTGGTTGGTAAGTTAGCTATAATATGCTGCTGGACCAACCGTTCAAAGCACTTAGTGATCACTGTGAGTGCCACAGGGCAGTCATTTAAGCTGGTAGTCAGGTAGTCATTTAAGCTGCATATGGTAGATTTCTTGGGCAGAGGAATTATTGTAGCAGATTTTAGACATGGTGGAACAATAGATTTGGACAGGAACAGATTGAATAATCTGGTGAAGACCGCTGAGAGCTGTGGCGCACAGTCCTTTAGTACCCTGCCCGTAATCCCATCTGGACCTGCAGCTTGGGGTTACGGGCAGGGTACTAAAGGACTGTGCGCCACAGCTCTCAGCGGTCTTCACCAGACTATTCAATCTGTCCCTGTCCAAATCTATTGTTCCACCATGTGGACTTCCCTGTAAACAGCCTGCGTTACTGCGTTAGTTAACAGTGATTTTGTTAAGTCAGACTGTCTCGTGACATGAGTCGTGCGTCAATAAAAATAATGTATGAGCGCCGCGACATCAGTGAGAGACGACTAGAGCGCGGGAGAGAGCAGCAGAGCTGCCAACTCACACACGCTCACACGACACACCCCCGATTTCTCGCGATGAAGTGTCAACCCTGTCGGTCAAATGCCTGAAAGATGAGTTTATCTATAAATCTAACCGTTGAGCCATATTTGTGATTGACTAGTTATACCGCAAATTAGTTAAAATCTCCCGAAATCTAGAGCAAGCGCGCTTGCGAGACTGTGTTCCAAAGTCCAAACATTGTAGCGCACACGACGAGGAGAACTAGAGAGAGACTTGCGTAGTATGCAGAGAGCATCCTGATCTGGAAACAGGACCCCCTGTTGGAGAATGTCAAAATTCTACCTCAAATCTGAGCAAGCATGTCACGAGACTGTCTCACACGGTTAACTGAAACAGCAAGCCGGTACAGGAATGTGAAACTTACTGAAAAAACCCTGAAACCCCGTCCGACATGACCGCTTTGGCTACTTGCTGATGGGACATAACCACTGTTTAACTCAGAAAGAAAAAAAAAAAAACTTGAAGCCAAAATACGGCATGCAACAGCATTTTCTGTTTTGATCAACAAATTTTTACTCCACTCTGCACTTTACTGTTAAAAGACATAAGTGTTAACAATTTGTAATACAGTCAGGAGCGACTTTCATGATTTTATTGCTGTATTTTTACATCTATTCAAATGAAGGATTTTACAAAATATATTTATTTTATATGCTGGAATATGTTGAATTTAAGTTAACAGAAGAAGGACTGACTTTATTTCATTAAAATAGGGTGGAATGTGCAGAAAATAGGTTTAAATGTTCAACAATTTTCTTCTAGTCTGAGACTGTTGCATTTAATTTAATTTTTGCTTGATGCAATGTGCATAAAGTTAAAATATTGAAACAAATAAAACAAGTTTAAAAAAGAGAGAATGTTTAATTTGATTACATTTTAGATGATGGAATATGCAGAAAGAATAGAATTAGGCTGAAATGCTTTAGCGTATTCAGGTCATGCATCATGTTTTTGAAAAGTAACTTAGTAAAGTAACTAGTAAAGTAACTAATTACTTTTGAAAATAAGTAATCAGTAAAGTAATTGGATTACTTTCTTGGAGAAGTAATCAGTAACTAATTTCTATTTCCAAGTAACTTGACCAACACTGGTGATGAATAGAGTCAGTATCACATTATTGCAGTTGTTTATAGCCTTCAGCGGCACATGAGCGGCGGGTGAGCAGCGCGTTTTTTTCGGCGTGCATGTTAATCAATGAGCACGTTCACACCGCGAGCAGGAGCAGCGCGTGAGCGTCAAGCAGGAGCATCCGAAGAACAGTCCGACAATTGCGGTAAGACATGGTCATTTCTAAACTAAAAACAATAAGAATCATTGTGTATTTACAGTAAGTAAGTTCACAATGTTTTTGTTTTTTTTTAGTTCTGCTTCATTTTGTTTCATAGGAAGCCGTCCGTGGCCTGCACAACTCCGAGACGAACCACAGGCGCTATGATGCTGGGCAGGGGTAAGACATACATACAAAGCATGCGATCTACTGTGTAGAAAGCGAATAATGTTGGATTCATATTTCTTTTACTGTTATTTAATCTCACATTTGTTTTCACAGACTGTGTTCGCCTTATAATGCAGCGGTCACATCGTTTTTGGTCGGAGCTCTGCTGCACGCAAGCCCGGATTGTATGGTGTTGACGATGCGATTGTGTGTAAGTATCTGTTACTGTGGGGTGTGTATATTGTTTTTATGTTAATATTGTTTTTGATGTATGTGCTGTGGTCACGCTATTTATTTACAATGCACACAAATATTGTTTTCCAAGCTGCATGCGTCACAGGCGTCTGTACAGTGGATCATGACAGAAAGCCACTACCACATGGCACAGAGGTGGACAGAGGACAGACATTACATACATTTCATTCCTGAGCTGCGCATTTGATGTATTTTGTTATTGCTTGTTAATATGCTTTTGCTTTCTTTTTTTAATAAACAAAATTTTAATCAACATTTGTCTCAGAAATTCTTCATGTTCTTCATAAATGTATGTCCTAGTTATTAAAATGAATACAAAATGTAACATCATATCCCAGATAGCAAACTGACATTGAATCAACGTGGAAACGACGTCTCTCATGACATTGAAACAACGTTGATTTTGCTCATCGAATTAACGTTGAACCAACGTCAGACGCGGCATTCTTCAAAGCTAAATGAAAATCGAAAATTGGTTTGCTTTCATAACGTTGAAACAACGCGTTGATTTCAAGTTGATTTTCTGTTAGTTTTGAAAGAATGACGCGTCTGACGTTGGTTCAACGTTAATTCGATGAGCAAAACAATGTCAGATCAACGTTGTTTCGATGTCATATTTCCACGTTGATTCAATGTCAGTTTGCTATCTGGGATGGCTATATCACATGAATATAGTCTCCAGTAAGAGGTTTATTTTTATTACAGGATTTTATATATATATATATATATATATATATATATATATATATATATATGTATAATTTCTAAATAATAATCATTATTATTGGGGAGAGGTTTACCCAAGCCTGTATTTCTAAAGGTCCAGGGTGACCAATAACAACAGATCTACCAACCAATCAGATGTGATTGATGATTTGAGGATGTCATTTGTTTAACCCAATGACTGAGGCCCCGTCCACACTACTGCGTTTTCGTTTAAAAACGGAGAATTAAAACGAATACGATCTCCGTCCACACCAGCGTTTTATCTGCGTATTAGAAACGATCTCCGTCCACATTAAAACGACTGAAAACGCAGATTACGTGACCATTCACCAACACTGGGCATGCGCGTGCCGGTGTAAACAGTGAATGACGAATCAGGGAAGGATGCGTCATGACTGATAACACCCAATCATAGAGCCAAGCGTCAGCCTCTGCGTCAGCGTTTCTAAAGTTCTCCGTTTTGTATGGTTTTGTCTCGTCCACACTAAAACGCACTCCGGAGATTCAAAACGCAAAACGCAGCTGCAGCGTTTCTAAACTTCTCCGTTTTAGGTCTTCGTTTTTCCCGTTTTAGTGTGGACGGGAGGTGCAAACGTAGCAAAAGGTCTCCGTTTTTAGACGAAAACGCAGTAGTGTGGACGGGGCCTGAGAAGCTTGGTCGGGCTGCTGAAGATGCTGCTGCTTTTCATATGGTAATAGAGTTGTTAATCCCGCGCTGGGGTGGAGGCGCGAGCGGGGGCGCCTATAGAGATTGCTAAGACATGTGACCAACTGGGCGGCAACGTCATCAGAACGCAAAGAATTGTGGGTATGTTTGGCCAGTTTACATGGGCAAGCATAGAAGGCTTGCATTCTGACCATGAAAAAAAAATCCTACAACATGCAGCGGGCTAAAGATCTCAGTACTCACCGGTACGCAGTACGAGCACTGTTGCACTGTTTCTTGCGTACCGCTATGCAGCCGGTACTCTATACCACTGACAGAAAAAGTGTGACGGCCGTTTAAACCCTTATTTACACTGCACATCTGCGGCACGATACAGCTACCGGAGCTGATCGCGGCCGCCGCAAGTGTGATCAGCACGCATTTTTCCAGTTTGCATGTTAATCAGTGAGTGTATTCCATATTCACACCGCACTGCATGAGGAGCGGCGCGTAAGCAGCAGTGAGTGGGGATTCGGGCAGAGTATATTTGTGTTGTGCTATATGCTCATTTCAAGTGATTGATGGAGAAAATAAATATGATTTCACACAAAAAGTGCCCAAAATGCACAGAATTTGCATGTTTAGTGTGTTTTAACAAGGACTGGAGTAGGCTACGTCGGAAAAGGTAATGAAGACTCAAAAATATTTATTTAGCCATTTAAACTTCTCTTAATTATTCAGTAAAACTATATGATTTATTAATAAATAAAACGAGCAAACTAGTCAGAATAAAAGCTTTCTTTTAGTTTATGTAATAGCCACAGACAGGTACATGCCCAAATCAAACCCGAGTGTACTTTTTATTAATGTTTGCTGTCTTGTAAACATATCGAAGTTTGACTGAAAAGATAATATCAGAGCTGTTGTTGTTTACCATTTACATGCAATTGTTGTATACCTCCAATCTTAACAAACTTTAAGAATCAAGTTTATTACTGACCAACTTCTAAAAAGAGAATTTCTTTGTAAAGAAATGCATGCACACACACTTGTTTAAATACATTTATGGTGTTAATAAATAACAATAAATTGTTGTTATACCAGCAATATTTCCTAGTTTTGTTTTTCACTGTAGAAATGTCGAATGTCATGACTTGCCAATGCAAGAGAGTAAGCCTACCGGCGGCACCACTTTTCTCCCACTTCAAGCACTGGTCGGAGCTAAATCATAATGTAAAGACGAGATATGAAGAGAAAATAAAGGGAATCAAAGGACTGGATCCTTATGAGCGTAGTGACTGGCCAGGAGACGTCAACCTGTTCCAGCACCCATATACAGTAAATACACAACTATATTAAATGTCGCTTCAAGTTCAACTTCAAGTCGCTGCAGCAGGCCCAAGTCTTTTCTTACAGATGGGTGGGTCCAGGAGGTCCAGAAAAGTGGGGCAGAAAACTGTTGTCCAAATGTATGCTATTCCACACTCATCGCTCTCTGTCATTTGCATGTAGTCAGAATCCCTGTCAAGATTGCAATGCTGGAGTGTGCGTGTGTGCCAGTCAAAAGCCCCGTTCACACCGCCAGCGTCTTTGTATGTGTGTCGCTAGGCTACTGTGATGTCGCTTGATGGGCCGCGGGCGTTCGTAGTGCTGTCGCTCTAATGTTATTGGTAAACTGCACGCCTGGCCATACAAAATACTATCTATACAAAATACCATCACAAGTGATATATACAACTATATAATTTTAATTTGACTTGGAATAAATGACTTTTAAGGCTAAAAAGAAACCGTATGCTGTTGGGAGAGTGTTTATATTACCACAGCAGTATTCAGTGGATTAAATCATTTACTAGATTAACGATCGATCAATGAACAAATTAAACCCACTCATATGGTCATAAATTATAAAAATGTCATTCGAATTTGACAAATAATCAATTTCCTTGTCCCTAGTCAACGCAATTGATAATTACAGTTTACAACACAGCAAGTAGACGGCATCTTATACACTGTTTGTGCCGCGGATTCCCAAAATGCTTTGCGTTCACCACTGGTAATACGTCACGTTAGCAATCTCTATACGTTTCCGACGATTTTCGGCACAGGCGAACGCGCGACGCTGAAAACGTCCAATAACTGCCGGAGATTAGTGGGATTCACGGCAGTTTACAGGGATGAAAACCCCATTTTTTATGCAGTGTGTTGGAACTGATAAAACAACATTTTCAGCAGTGTGAATTCTGTGTTTCAGGGGTTTCTAGTGCTGATTGGGGTGTGAGTTACAATCCTACACACATCTGTGCACTAAACGACTCAACAGTGATCATGAGATGCACTTATACATACCCTACTGGACATCAGATCAAGAAAGTGTTCTGGACCAAAACAAAAGATAAAGAGAAGCATGAAGAGTTTCCAGATCTGTCTGAGGACCCTGAATACAGTCAGAGGCTTCAGTATCTGGGAGATAAACAGCAGGACTGCACCGTCAGACTGAGTCATGTGACACTGAAGGATTCACACATGTATTATTTCAGATTCATCACTGATAAAGTGGACAAAAAATGGATTGGTAAATCTGGAATGTCTCTTACTGTCACAGGTGACTTTTATCTCTTAATAAAAATACAATAATAATAGACTGTGACAGCAGCACTAGATATAATGTGTGTGTTGTATTCAGATCTTCAGGTGGAGTCTCCTGACAATGTGACAGAGGGAGATTCAGTCAGTCTGACATGTAAAAGCAGCTGCACTCTGACTGACAGAGCAACATTCATCTGGAACAGAAACTCACAGCCATTAACTGAGAGAAGAGACAGAAACAATGAACTCCTGCTGCAGTCAGTCAGAAGAGAGGATTCAGGCAGATATAGCTGTGCTGTAGACGGACACACACACGTCTCTCCTGATGTTCACCTCAATGTCCACTGGTTGTCCTCCTTTCATGGCAAGAGGAGATTATTTCGCATTTGGGATTTTCTGTGTGTCTGATCTGGATTTAATTTAGTCTTTTTAAAAAACAGAGATTGTGTTTAAATTACACGATTTAAGGGTTTAATTTTTGTCCGTTTTAGACCCACCGAGGAACGTCTCAGTGTTGATAAATGGATCTGGTGAAATAGTGGAGGGAGATTCGGTGACTCTGAAGTGCATCAGTGACTCAAACCCTTCTGCTCTGAACTTCAGCTGGTTTAAGGAGAATGAAAGCTCAGCTGTTGGATCTGGACAGAGTTTCAGTGCACTACAGAGTGGACGCTTCTACTGTCAGGCTCACAATCAACATGGATCTCAGAGATCAGACGCTGTAACAGTCACAGGTGAAGCTTTTATTAACACACTCCTGTATCTTCACATCATTCATCAGTTTGGAGAGTTATTCATGATGATCTTCCTCTTTCAGTTCATCACATTGCTGGTAGGAATGTGATTGTGATCACAGCGACATCTGGAGGATTATTTATCATCATCATCATCATCTTCAACATACTATTTATAATGTAAATTAAATAATAGAGTATAAATATAATTTACTTAAAGGTGCATTGCGCAACATTTCATGTTCACCCATACATGCTTAAACAATTGCCTAATGGGCTGAATGAGCCCTTCTCTGATCACTGCGATCGCCTCTATTATCCTGTACAGTAAAATACAGTTTTTGAGACTGATGTCATGCGCGTTCACTTTCACCTGGCGATGTCTGGCAGGTGTGTGTTTGCGGCGCCATTCTCCGTATCAGCGAAGACAACTCGAGCATCACAACTTTAGTCAACTTACGACAAAAGTAGAAGATGGATTCAAAGAGATCGGCTTGTAGTTCATTCAAAACCCCAAGACAAAGAAAATCAAACTTTTGTCTAGTGCCAGGCGTAGGAATAAGACGAGAGTCAACATTGGGAAGCTTTCAACAATCGGAGAGATCTCCGGTCTGCTCTAGGGCTCAAACCGGATTAAAGTAATAATTTATATTGTTCATGAACGTGTTTCCATTATGATACAATCATAAGTGGATACAGTAAACACATAAAACAGTTCAACATGGAGATAGATGGAAACAAAAACCCGAAGTTTTCCCCTCACACACACACATAAGTGTGTAATTTACTTAAATGCCTTTCGAGACCGGCTTGTAGTTCATTCCAAACGCAAACTCCACGTAACACAAAGAAAATCAAACTTTTGTCTAGTGCCAGGCGTAGGAATAAGACGAGAGTCAACATTGGGAAGCTTTCAACAAATGGAGAGATCTCCGGTCTGCTCTAGGGCTCAAACCGGATCAAAGTAATAACTTATATTGTTCATGAAAGTGTTTCCATAATGATACAATCATAAGTGGATACAGTAAACACATAAAACAGTTCAACATGGAGATAGATGGAAACAAAAACCCGAAGTTTTCCCCTCACACACACACATAAGTGTGTAATTTACTTAAGGTAATTTACAGGTTTATTACTTTTATTACCTCTGGAGTCATTATGACTGCAATAAAAGATTTGTGTAGCTGATGCTCCCTTGGTTATGAACAGCTTGTGCAAGCGTGTGTGTGTGAGAGTGGTTCATGAGCATGCACACCTTTGGTTGCAGTTTCGCTTGTCGCCAGAGGGGGTGTAGTTCTGCAAAAACTTGCAGAGACTTGCGCAATGCACCTTTAAAAACAAATGTAGAAGGATGTGTCATTATTATCTATATATGAATTATATTTCCTTTTTTGACAGTACAAGAAAAATAATTAACAGACAATCTGCAATACACAAGTGTGAGGTGAGTGGAATAACAACTACAGAATAAACTCTCTCTCTCTCTAATATATACAGTAATATATTTCTCTCTGTTTATCTATAGGATGATGATACAGGCTCATATGCAGCTCTTGACCTCAAATCCAGATCATCTGATGTCTACGACACACTCACAGTAAATTGAATATCAAAAACTACACGTGCAAAAGAATGTGTTCATTCAAAATTCGGGTGATAAATAATCAATGTGTTTTTCCCATAGACTGTCCATCCCATACCTGATGTTCAGCAGTCAGACTCTTCTGAATATGAGAATCTGTCCATAAGAAGTCCATATCACCAATGAAGAAGGAAATGTCCTCACGACTAGTAGATTCAAGTCAGTGTAATCCTTCACGGAGTGAAAATAGATTTCACATACAGTATATGACTGATCACTATATTAAATGGTTTAACAGTAGATTTGAAAATATACAGAATAATATATTGTGTTAATATGTTACAGTAAATTGAATAATACATAAGGAATTGCCGCTTTTCATATATTGAAAAATGTACCAATGTTTACTAAAATATCATAATGTATGTAATTTTAAATTCAGTAATACACTTCATAATAGATAAATGAGGGATCAGATATGGTATTCCATGTGTAAAAAATTGCTCATGAAATATAAACACTCATGCAATATAAACACATAAAAAATATATAATGCAATATATTCCTGATGCTTTTAATTTAGTGTTTAGAATTTTAAGCTGATTAACAAAAAGCCTAATTTCATGTATTCAAATATTTAGCCATTATATTATTGTCATGTTGAAAAGTGCACAGTGATGCCTATAAATACAATGATGTTGCTAACTTTAATATTGGCTGTAGGCCAATCATCACCTAAACCACAGGCTCTCGTCTTCAGCACAATGGTCACCCCAAAAACTCACACATACCAGAAAACCTGTAAAAAAAATTGAACATTAAAGTCCCCGTGAAATCAAAATTGAACCTATTTACTTTGTTAGCGCATATTACTAGTCTTTTGGTGAACAATTAATCCGTGCAAGTAAAAATATATAAAAAAAAAATGTTTTACCTTGGTAATCTTTAATCAAAATCTGAAAAGTTACTTCTGGTCTGGAACGGTTTCTTTTTCTGATGACGTAGGTTTCACAGTTTGGGTGGGGAAACGCTTAACCACTCCCCTCAAACCGTTAGGCTTACTATGAGCGAGAGATGGAGAGGAGGAGCGCTAGAGTAAAACCCTGCCCTCTGTTCAATATCAGGGCTCCAGACTGCGATCAAATGGTCGCATTTTGCGACCAAATTTTGAGAGTGTGCGACTGAATTTTACATCTAGTCGCACATGTGCGACCAGTAAATTTGCCGCACGTTAAACGCATGGTAAAGCGTGGAAGCGGCGCGTCAATGAATCCGTGGCAAGAATAGCGCGCGTAAACGTCTGTGGGAAGGAGAGGGAGACAAATATCACAACCTGATGTGCGTCTGAGCAATCGGCGATCTATCGTCTCGTTAGTCGTTACCTAGCAGCGAATGCAAACAAAATGAAAGTGGAACGAAAATACGTTACGCCACTCATATGATTAGGACCGTGGAGCAGGAGCAGCGATCCGAACCATTGACAGTAAAATAAAGCCCGAACTTGCCAGTCGCGGGCCGATCTCGCTCACGCAAGACTGTTAGCACTACTAGGAGATCCAGTGAAGACATCCATTGAATTCGCCTCAGAATTAATAACATCAACACCACGAGATCCAGTGAGAAACACTCCGATTCGGCGCAGAGTTCTGTTATAAACCATTTCAGATCAAACAGCGCTGACGTGGAAATCAGGAGAAACACTTATAGAAGGCTTTCAGTCCACAAATCAGCCTAACAGAACCATGGATTTAGGCTAATGTTGTAACTTAAAGGGTTAGTTCACCCAAAAATGAAAATTAAGTCATTAATTACTCACCCCCATGCTGTACCAACGCGAGATTTGCGATCTGCTTACACCAGATTAGATCGCAATTCTCGCGCATGCGTCGTGGAAATCTATAAGGAAGTCTCGTTCTGGCCTACAAGGAAGAAAAGAAATAGTCGAATAAACTCGTTATTTTTGTTTGTTTTTTCGCACAAAAAGTATTCGCGTCGCTTGATAAACATATAGTTGAGCCACGGTAGTCACTTGGGATATTTAAACATTTTCTTCATTGACTTTTTGGGCCGTCAAGAGGCAGTCCCTTAGGAGCCAATGTGGTAGTTATACAGCTCTCAAATTTAATCAAAAATATCTTCATTTGTGTTCCGAAGACGAACGAAGGTCTTACGGGGTTGGTACAGCATGGGGGTGAGTAATTAATGACTTAATTTTCATTTTTGGGTGAACTAACCCTTTAACTCTAACCATAAATATGATGATGTGTAAGAAATAGTCAAATGCTTACAAGTAGCCTACTACACATCTTTTCCCATGCACTTCAATAATATCATATATAAATGTTTTATTTTTTTGTATTTTTTATGTGATTACCAACACATTTTTGTTAATCCTTTAAAGATTGTTCTAAAACGAACAATTTTAAGATGTTGGAAAACTCTTATTTATACACTTAAAAAATAATAATAATACCATTGTAAACAGTAGGATGTTTATTGGCTATTTTCACTACTTTTATTAATTAATATTAAGACATTATAAATAATAATAACTAAAGTTAATTTCATCTACAATTAAGCTTAGTGATTTATTGTTAGCCCCAGTGCTACCAGATTTTTTTTTTTTTTTTTTTTGTAGAACTCGCTGTGAGTTCTCATTTGAGGAGATGCTGCCCTCAACTTTGAGTCTGGAGCCCTGTGAACTTAAAATAAAACAGCATATCATAATGTTAAGTCTATTTATTATTAAAAAATTTGTCAGTATTAGAGTTATTTTGTGGGAAATTTGAATAATTGCATTGTAAGCTGATTTAAGGTGTGCCCCTAAATTTTCTGCTTGCGCTCCTAAAATTTTCAGTCAGGGGCAACAGCGCTCCTAGTCAAAAAAGTTAGTCTGGAGCCCTGAATATTCCGTTTCACTTGGAAATACGTCACAGCACTGGAGAAAAATCGTTTGCAACTTCCGGTTCACGGGGACTTTAAACACTAACCAATCTCCCCCTTTATTAATATTGAGCTAAAGACGTAACACTTAGTTTTAACATGTGCTCTCCTTTAACAGTCAGAAGCAAAGCATGCTGGGAACTAAAAATCTGTTGTGACTCATTCCATGAATGTGTGTGTATAACATGTATGTGCAAATTTTTATACAATAAAGGATGAAACTTTGTGAATATTACATGTGCTATTTTTGTCTTCATTTATTAATGTTTTATATTCATTTTTAAACAGGTGCTTAATAATTAGAATATCATCAAAAAGTTGATTTTATTTCAGTAATTCCATTAAAAAAGTGAAACTTGGATATTATATTCATTCATTACACACAGCAAAATCCCCAGCGTTAAATTAACACTGAAAAGTGAGAATTATATAAACTATGAGCAGAGTGTTAAATGAACACTGAAGCAGTGTTAAATTTAATGAGATAATTAAGTGAATAATTTAGTGATGATTGAGCATTATTGAAGACACCTGATGTTAACAAGCAGAATCTCTGAAGGAGCAAACCGTAATTTTTAAGTCACCATTGTGGTGATCAGTGTTTGGTTTAGCTGGGCACTTGACCCTTAACTCATTAACTTTAGATTTACTTTGGCTGCTGTATGTGAATTATAATAGCCAGATTAACTAATACGGGCCCGGCGTCAAGGGGCTTGGGGGGGCTTAGCTTAGCTTAGATAGAATGACCGATTACTATTTCTAGATCCTACCATAACAGAATATAAAAATGGATATCCGAAAATATATGACAAGTCGGTCCCGTAGTTTTCCAGATGCGACCATCCAACAGCAACTCAGCAGACTTACCAGGTCCCAACACAACACTGACCGCCTGAACCCCCAAGAATGCCTCTCGATCTTGGTGAGGATAAACCGAATCAGGTGAAGTTAAGACATTTCCCTCTTTGCCTTTGAGGCAACCAGCAACGGTCATTTGTTGCGTCATGGTATGTGTCTTGTGAGTGGTTGGAATACTCCATGGAAGCAGATGCGGCATTTTGTTTCTCGTGTTTTCCCGCATTTTGTTTCTCGTGTTTTCCCGCTTTCACTGTAAGGGGCTTCAGCGATTGGAAGCACGCAGTAGAGGCGGGAAAAGGCCTAAATAAACATGCTGCGTCAAAAGAACATATGACAAGTATGGCGCTCTGGAAAGAGAGAGAAAAATGGACTGAAAGTGGACAGGATATTTCCACCCTAGTTAACAGTAACCAGTTAGGTAGGAATCGCTACCATCTCTCCTCTATAGTGGACACGGTTGAATTTCTTGTGGTGAATCATTTGCCACTCAGGCAAAGCACAGATGCATTTGATAGTCTATCGGGGGGGGGTGGACTTTTCCTTTCTTTATTTGAATATACCCTCCGCAAAGACCCAGAGCTTTGGAGTGTTGTACAGACAATTCCACACAATGCAACGTACACTTCTCACGACATTCAAAATGACGTTATTGCAACCATGAGCTGTCTGGTGAATGAAGAAATTGTTTGAGAAGTTGCAGATTCATGGTACACAATCAAAGTAGATGGGACACGTGACCCAACCGGAATGGAAAATATTTCCATTATCGTTCGCTTTGTCAAGAACAATTATCAAGTCACAGAGCGACTTTCCATGACAACAACTGAAAAAGGGGATGCTGAAACCCTGACCAACAAAGTAATCGCAGAGCTTGAAAAGACTGGGCTGAGTACTTCTAAAATATTGAGCCAGGTGTACGATGGGGCATCCCTTATGTCTGGGAAAAACGGAGGAGTACAGAAAATCTTGCAGGACAAATTAGGAAGAGTGATTCCGTACGTGCATCGCTTCAATCATCAGCTCCACCTTGTGGTTGTTCATGCAATATCCACCGAGCCTGCAGTTGAAGACTTCTTTAATGTGTGTAATTTGCTTTATAAATTCCTTAAAAAGCCAACCGTCGCTGTCTTGTATGGCGGGCAGCAGCTTAAGAGACTACTTGAACAGCGGTGGACAGGGCATCTTCAAACAGTCAAAGCAATTCTTAATTCTTTTCAAGACATCACTGAGTTGTTGGCACAGATCAATGGCAATTGCAGCTACGAGACAGAAGTGCGCATGGAAGTAGTTGGCCTGATTAAGGAAGTATCAGAGACGAGCTTTAAATTCATTGCCCATATGGTCTATAAGATTCTCCAGCTGCTTGATGCTCCAAACAAATTGATGCATTCAGAGGACATGGACCTGCTAAGTGCAGTCAAATTAGTTACATGCGCGTCAGAATGCCTTGCGAAATTGCGCTGTGAATCTGAATTCTTAGAGATTTGGGAGAAGGCCGACGACAATGAAATCCAAAACCTTCCAAACGAAAACACACCATTAATAAAGGCCTTAAAGAATATCTGATGGAGGAGAGCATTGGCCAGGCTCAAAGTGATTTGGGAGAAGAAGAAGAGCTTCGGCGTTTGTACTACAGTACTTTAGACTGGTTGAAGCACTTTCAGCTTTTGATCCACAGAATGACAGCACATTTTTGGATGCGCAACTCGTTCAACGCATACTACACATAACTAATTCGGAAGTGGTTCATTCAGAATTTGC